CTGGCTGGGTGCTGGCAGGCTTGCACCTGGCACGGGCACCATAGCCAGCCCGTGCCCCTTTAAAGGCTCCAGGGCTGGGAGGGGGGCAGAAGAGTTTCCCTGGTGGTACCCAGAGTGGCCACCAGGGAAAGCTGGGGAGGGCTAACCTCCCACTAGTTCGAATTAAGTGGCTACACAGCCCTTAATTCGAACTAGTTAATTCGAACTAGGCATTAGTCCTCGTGGAATGTTTACCTAGTTCGAATTAAGCGCTCCGCTAGTTCGACTTAAGTTCGAACTAGCGGTTTGCCTGTGTAGCGCCTATCAAAGATAATTCGAACTAACGTCTGTTAGTTCGAATTAACTTTGTAGTGTAGACATACCCTAGCAGACTCATTAAATCTCCAAGTGGTCTCAGTTACTAGAAGGGACAAAGCATCACACCCAGGAGGTGCGTGGGTTACACTTGCAACCTGTTCTAGATCTCCTTGTGAACTTTGAGCATGGAATTCTGGCATATTGAACATCCAGGAGACTGGCCCTTTTCAAACCACTTTGGATGATCAAAGTGGTTGTCCAACATTGGGAAGACAGCCGTGCATGAAGGACATCTCTTGAATCCTGGCTTTATTTTTATTTTTTTGGTGCCCTCACAACTAGTACCATGCTAAATAAAGAACAGTTACTTACCTTGTAATTGTTGTTCTTCGAGATGTGTTGCTTTTGTGGCCCAGGTGCCCATCCTGGACATCTGCAGGGCCGCCATGTGGTCTTCAGTTTATGCCTTTTCTGACCATTATGCTCTGGTGCACCAGGTAAGGGAGGACACTGCCGTGGGTAGGCCTGTCCTTCATTCCATTGAATGTTAGAACTCTGATCCCTCCTCTTGGGGGTGCTGCTTTGGAGTCGCCCCCATAGAATGGACAGGAGCAAGCACCTGAAGAAGAACTAACTTTGCTTATCTCTAAACTATGAATTATTCTCATGACACTCAGCCAGTGAGGACTAAGCAACCAGCAGGCTAAGTGATCTAAAATCAACATTTAATTACACATTAGAGAAGTAATGAAATGGTAAATCCTTATAGGTAGTTATTGTAAATAGTTACCAAAGCCAAGTAAGTAGATTAAATCCTTTGAAATGTAAGTTTTATTGTCAGAGACTTAGAAGTAAATATTTTTTCTGTGTTTACTGATATGTTAGAAGCTTCGCAATATGTTCTCATTAGTTCATAGATTAGAAATCTCTATAGGAGTGGTCTACAACCTTTTTAAGCATGAGATCACTTTTTGAATTTAAGGGCAATTCAAGATCTACCACAAACCCAAAACCCCTGACCCCACCGCCTTTGTGCCCCTTCTCTGAGGTCCCACCCCTGCTCACTCCATAATCCCTCCCTCCCCCATCCGCCCTCCCTTTCACCAGGCTGGGGCAGAGGGTCGGGGTGCAGGTTCTAGTCTTGGATTGAGGGATCTGGATTGTGAGAGAGGCTCTGAGCTGAGCTTGAGGCAGGCAGTTGGGGTACCGGAGGGGGTTCTAGGTGCAGGCTCTGGGAGGGCATTTGGATGCAGGGGTACTCGGAGCTAGGGCAGGAGCTTGAGGTGCAGAGGGGGTTCATGACTGGGGTAGGGTTTTGCGATATAGGCTCTAGCTGGGTACTGCTAACCTCAGGTGGCCCCTGGGTGGCGGTGCTGTGGGGCTAAGGCGGGCTCCCCCCTGTCCTGGCCCTGCACCACTTCCAAAAGCTGCTAACAAATTTCATCCCAAATTCTGTTGTGCCCCCTTTCTGCTCTGTGGAGACAGGATACAGAGTAGGAGGGGGGCACCTTGACTTCAGCACCCCTCCTATCTCTTCCTTGCCCTGCACAGTGAGCAGGAGGCTCCTGAGGGGACAACTCCAAAGCAAAGGGCAGGAGACGTGCAGATGAAGTGCAGGCACTTGATAGACTCTTGGCCAAACCAGTTAGGATCACCTGTCAGAGGCTCCAAGATCTACCAGTGGATCCCGATCTACTGGTTGGTGACCACTGCTCTATAGTCTATTGATTAAGAGATCAAAAGTGAATGTTAGCAATTAGATGAAATGTAGTGTAATAATATCGTCCTTATTTCTCTGTGATGTTTGTAGTAAGCTAAGAACCTTTGAATGGTTAATTGCCGTATGCTAATCAATGCAACTAATTGCCTGTGTATATGTAGGAAATAGGAACTGATTTCAAAGCAACAATGGTCATTATCTGTTCTTCAATCAATGAAAGCCTGCAGTGACAAGTATATCACCCTTTTATATAGACTCGCCCTCAGAGCATTCAGAAATGCTAAGCAGAAGTGGATGAATATGTACTTTAATAGACACTGGATGGAAAAAGTTCTACTCTTATGCACCACTAGGTGGCATAGTATACATAAGTGGGACTATTCAGAGCCACTTGGGAAAGAAAAAGAGGTTACTCACCTTGTGCAGTAACTTGTGTTCTTTGAGATTGATGTCCTTGTGGATGCTCCACTGTAGGTGTTTCGGCACCCCTAGACTTATAGCTGGATATTTTTAGCAGCAATACCTTGGGGGGTGATGCACATGCACAGAGCTGTCTCACACCGTAGCAAGTGTGCCAACATGTGCACATTGTCAACTGTCTCTCAGTTCCTTCTTTGTTGCAGAGAGATGTTGACTATGAAGCAGAAGGGAAGAGGAAGGGCCACAGAGCACCCACTGGGATACCCATCTCAAAGAACACCAGTGCACCAGTAAGTAACCTCTTTTTCTTCTTCGAGGAGTGTCCCAATGGGTGCTGTACTGTAAATGACTATGGAGCAGTATCCCAAGAATTTGGAGGAAGGGGCTTCGGACATTTAGTGTAGGCAGCACATAGAACTGCCAACCCAAATTGTGTGTGTTGTGACACATATATATCTAAGGTACAGTTTGGTCTAGGAATGGTTGTTTGTTAATTGAGTAGTACATCTTAATGCAGTTGGCAATCCATTTACAAAGTCTTTGTTTAGAAATGGCTTGACC